AAAAAAAAAAAAAAAAAAAAAAAAAAGAGTTAAACATCAAACAAAATAAAACAAAGAAACCCTATGGGAAAATACAAGGGAACAGCTACCAGATCTTAAATAGAGAAATATTTTCTTAGTAGAAGAACACGAAGAGACAAGGAAAATAAACCCAAGTGATTTGACTATATAAACTCAACACTATACATCAAACTCTCATCTGCAAAATGAAAAACTTAACTTTATAAAAATAATTTGACAGTCACTACCTGTAAGTATCAGTTTTAAAAAACCCTTTTTCCTTCTCTCAAGAAAAATCTGATCTTTAGTGAACTTTCTAGCTCTATTACCAGGCAATACTACTGGCAAAGTGGTTCCTGACTGAAAAGTAACATGTATTGAGATCTCTAAATGCTTATAACTTTGGTCTTCTTTGAATACCATGACTCCTGTAACTGGTGTAAGAGGGACCTGGAAGCTATGCTTAGCCGCTGTTAAAAAGCTCTCAGTTCCTATTTGACACAGGAGACTTCTAGTCCAGGGTGACTATGGCATACTGCGTCTCCTTTCCTTGCACCCAGCTGTACTGCTGAGTGAATGGCCATGAAGACTTGATGAAGAGAAATACCCGACACTGCCCTGCTATGTTTCCTGGCCTGACTACCTATGAGAGCCAAGTGTGACCTACTCAAGCCTTTTGAGTTTGCTCCTCAGCAAGTGGTCTTTGGAACAATATGACATTCTATGCCCCTAGATGTGATATAATATAAAAGCTATAACACTGCCCATGAAGTATTCTTGCCAAAACTGTTCAACATGAATCTAACTTCCAGTTTAAGGAAAACATAAGGGACCGAGGGGCAAGGAACAGATAAATCTAGAATATGAGACATTCCAACAGATCATTAGCTTGGGTTCTTGAAAGGCAAATGTTATGGGAGTGGGAAGTGTATATGATGTCTTCCAGACTATAGTGAACTAAAGAGACTACTACTAGATATGTCTATTATATAGTAATATCTTGTATAAACATATTTTTATATCATAAAAGTATATTCACACCAAAGCAAAATGGCAAAATGTTACCAACTGCCAAACACAGGTGCTGTTCACTATATTATTCTCTCAATTTTTCTCAATGTATAAATTTTCATAATTAAAAACAAGAAATGGGCTGGGCATGGTGGCTCACACCTGTAATCCCAGCACTTTGGGAGGCCGAGGCAGGTGTATCATGAGGTCAGGAGATCAAGACCATCCTGGCCAGCATGGTGAAACCCTGTCTCTAATAAAATACAAAAAATTAGCTGGGTGTGGTGGCACACACCTGTAGTCCCAGCTACTCGGGAGGCTGAGGCAGGGAAATTGCTTGAACCCAGGAGGCAGAGGTTGCAGTGAGCTGAGATCGCACCACTGCACTCCAGCCTGGCAACAGAGTAAGACTCCACCTCAAAAAAAA